TTTTTTTTTTTTTTTTTTTTTGTGTGTGTGTACACAAGCAGTTTAACTTCATAATGTTACATGAACCATAGTTTTGTGAGGTAATTATGCTTTCTTGGGCTTTATGTACATGAAAATGTACTGCAAAGTGCTTATATAGAGCTAAAGCCCAGGTGATGAACCCGGGTCTATGTCTGAGGACACAAATAAAACTTAGAGATATAAAATAGCAGCCAAATGCTATATATAATATGCCACTACCAAACGGAACTTCTACACCATTTAGCATTGATTTGAGGACTTGATTATTTACTGCTTATACTGTAAGTATGAAAGATTATTAAGCGGACCAATATTCTCTTACCGTCAGTAGCATAAGGAAGATGAGGGAGCTCGTGAATCCTCCAAGAATAGTGAATAACTCTGAAGAAGCTAATTTCACCCTAAACATTTCTTGTAGAGAAAGAGTGGCTATGAATAAAAGGAAAGAGTATAGCATGGAACTCCCAGCTGCAGCCATGTTCTTGATGCGACACTAAAAGCGAGAAAATGAAAACGCATTAAAGCCATTCATTCAGTGAAAGAAGGTTTACAAATGAAAGAGGTAACTGCAATTGTCATAGACTCAGCTTGCTAAAGCTTAAGAAGTGTTTTCACTTTTCGGATAGGCCCAAAAATAGTTTCATGAGAATCTTCACAGACACATCATTGCAATCACGTAATTTTTTGAGCAAAATGTTATTTTCAGGTCAGGTCCATAGAATTTTACAACAAAAAACACCAACTATTCATAATAGAACCATTTTGTGCATTGCTTTTATGAAAAGAACTGTAGCTCTTTCAAATTCAACCCGTGTTCTACATTTCCATTGACTAATTATCCAAACCTAGTCGAACTACAACTTAGAATTCCTCATTACTGCCTGAGAAAATCCCCAATTGATTAATCCTAACAATATTACATTACTAATCTAATGATTTAGCGATTTTCCAGTTTAATGACACTAGCTTTGGATAACCAAAAGATGAAGTTAGAAAACCAAACAGAAGATGTAACCTAAAGCGATGAAGTTAGAAAACCAAACAGAAGATGTAGCTCAAAATCGCAAGCAATTTTAGCTCAATGAGACAATTAATCGGAAATAAATCAGACCCAAATCAACCTGAGACCTAATCGATCGGAAGAAACAATTATTGAATCAAAAGATCGATTTCCTTAACCAAAACCCAGTTCACATCCATCATAACAGTATTGCTCACGAGAGAAACGCATCTCATATACATTACAGAATCTTGCAAAAAATGATACACCAAGAGAAAGATCGCAAGCAAATTACATCATAAGAAGTGATGAAACTCACCAGGATCGCTGTACTATGCACCAAAGTTTGAGATCGAAGTGCAGCAGAGTCGAAGCAAAGAACCTGCGTGTATTTCAAGATTTCATCACTTTCCAGTTGCGCTCGAAAGACACGACTTGAGTAAAAACTAAAAAGTCGTTGGAAACTCACGACGACTTCATAGAAAGACATGACTTGAGTAAAAGGTGGTCGGAAAACTAATAGAAACGTGGTCCTTCTAATTATTTAATTTTCTCTATTCATAAATACTATTACGGCATTTATAACCTATTTGTTTTTTAAAAAGTATTTTTGTATTTAAATTGTCTCATGGCATTAGAAATATCATGAAAATAAAAATTTATATGTTATTAAACACTTCTTTATATACAACATTATTGATTTGATTCATTGACACGTAAAATACTACGTAGGTATTCGAATTTTATCTAAAATTGTATATTATTAGTTATTGGTTAACAAATTTTAAAAAATGATCTTATTAAATAATTCTAATTATAGTAGAAAAGAGGAGAAATTTTTAGGGATTTTCACCCATTATTTCTTTTAAATTTAATTCTAAATTTCAATTAAGAAAAATTAAAAAGAATAATTAATTACCCCTGAAAATAAAAATCGACTTTCCTACCAATAATCCAATTTTTTTATTAAACAAACTGATCTGAATATTTTTTTTAAATCAATTAAAAAAAATCATCAAATTTTCCTAAAAATGCAACTAAATTTTCCTAACACTGCACCGATTTTTTTACCAAACAAATTGAATTGAAAATAATTGTAATAAAAAATAGAAACAATTTGTTAATGTTTATGTAACTGTCTCTTTCCTAAAGAAAATGATATGAACTTAATAAAAAAAATGATATGAACTTACCGAAATCTCTGTAAAATATGGTTAAGAAAAAACATAAGAATCCCAAAAATGATGCATTTAAATTTTGAAAAAGTTGCACAGAATTTTTCCTAAATAATTAGATAAGGTGACTTTAAATATGAAAGATGAACTTTTGTTACCAAAAATGTTGACACAATTTTGAATTTACATCCCGTCCAAATATCAGTTTTATTCTAAAATAAAAATTGCACGTGGTTTTTATCCAATTTACACACTTTTTTTTTAAAGAAAAAATTATTCAAAAAGATTGAAAGAATTGGTTAAGAATTATACAACTATTTGTTTCCTAAATTTGTATCCAATTTGTACGGTTTTTAAGTTAATTTGTATTTAGAATTGTTTTCATAAATAATTGACACATTTTTTGCATAAAAATCTCTAAATTTGTTACCAAAAATTATATGATTTAAATTTTGATAAAAAAATAAAATATGATACGAAAAAAATGAAATTCAAATTTTTCCATAAGAATCTCCAAATTAGTTACCGAAAAAATAGGATTCAGATTTTGTTACTAAAGATTCACATGTATTTTTTCGAACTTTTCATTAATAGTAAGTCAAACATTATATTTATTTGGTCAAACTTTCTATTAATGTATTTTTCCAACAACCTCTTTATATATATAGAGATATAGATATAGATATAGATAATAATAATAATAAGATTAGGTAATCTATATATATATATAATAATAAGAATTATCATTTACTAAAAATAGTAGCAACAAAATTGGTCAAAATTTAATGCAATCTATAAATAGTAGTTTTTATTATTTTTCTTATTTTTTTCTTTAAAAATCATACAGCATTAAATGCTACCTTAAATTTTGGGTTTTAGTTCATTTTATTATTTAAAAAATCCGACTAAGATTTATTAAGTGTGTATGTTTTTATGTTTATTTTTTTCTTATAAATAACGAACAATATTAAAATCTCGGTCTCTATATTTATAAAATCTCAATTCAAAATATTACAAACGTTTTAAAATCTCGGTCTTTATATTTGTGCCTTTAAAAAAAATATTGAACGCTAAAAATATTCTTTAAATTACATAATCAATCAATTAACCTTATTTTTTTGAAAATTACTATGTTTGTTTTTTATTAATATGCATAAAGTAAAAATAATTAATTCATCTTTAGATATATAATTTATAATCTTAATATACTATCATTTGGTGTAGACATTTATTAAAGGCACAAATATAAAACGTTTGTAACCAGACTGGTTTATAACTAGACTGGTTATAAACCGGTTCTCGGTTCATCCGGTGGGACTGTGTCCAACTCGGTTTAATTTAAAAATAATGGATAAATCATGATTAATGTTATTTATATATTTAATTTATAATACAATCGTAATATTATTTTTCGTGAATCGCACGGGCCACGCACTAGTAGCTTTAAAATTGTTCACCTCTGACACAAATTCTGCACTAGTTTATTTTATTTTATATATATAAAGAAAGAACCATTTACTAAAAATAGTTGTCAAATACATTGCCAATATTAATTGTAATCCATTAATAGTAACTTTTTTTTTATATAAATTTTGTATATGTAATTAATAAATATTCAAAAATTAAAAACTGTAAACTTGAAGCATATAAATAGATACAACCTTGTATATTACGTACATTCAAAATTTAATTCTCTAAACTTTGGATTTGGTTTCTTATATATACAAACTATATGGATAAAATCTTAAAAAAAAATCATTTATTTGAATATGTTATCTTTAAAATTTATTTTATGCAATGCTTCATCACTTGGCCACTGCTTATATCCATTATATTTCCCATTTTACCTACAAAAGAAGAAAAAAATGTTATATCACCATATTGGCGTATTGAACTACATAATGGATCGACCATATGTGCTCAAAAAGCATGTCAACATAAAATAATAACTTTTTCTATATATCTTATCTTTGCAAGCCATAATTGTTATCAGATGATACAATAATTCATTTGATTGATCATATTGTGATGATGAGGCGTGAGATCATAGACACTCAACTTTTTCAGTGCACATGTGGAGAACTTGGCGCTGAATAGGCTTTTTCGAGGTTAGGTTTCTTCTACTATATAGACAGTAGGCTTGATTGCAGTTTCGGTAGCAGACTCTTTGGCCTGGATTTGTCTTGTGTCGATCGTTCACTGTTGGTTTGAGCTAGCTCGTTCGCTGAAAAAGGGCTATTAGTTTTTTTTAGTTTATTTGTGTTCTTGTTTAGTGTTTTTCTTTTTAGTGTTGTCAGTGTCTTGTGTTTTTGGTTTGGACCGTTGGCCCATGTGAGTCCGAGTGTCAAACTTATTATCCTGTTGGGATTCGACACTCGGTTATTATCCCGTTTGGGTCTTTTTTAGTTGTTTTAGGTTTAGTTTAGTTGCGAGTTTTTTATTCTAGCGTTGCTAGTCGGGATTCTAGGCGGTCTTCTGACCTGTCCTGCCACTTTTCAGCTGTTGACTGTTCTCATTCAGTTAGGAGCTGCTTGTATTTGTGCGCTTTTGATTTATAATAATATCTATCATTTTGGGGAAAAAAAAAAAAAAAAAAAAACACAAAAGAAAAGAAGATTGCAATGAGAGAAATATTCGCAATAAAAGAATGAGAGATGAAATATGTGTAAGTGTACTCTTATCGAGCCTTTGGATTAGACCCGCTTTAGTGATTTTAACATTAGATAATTTTAACCTGTTAGTATTTTTCAACGCTTCTGCATTTTTTGTATTGTATTGTTCTTCATTATGAAAAATCACGTTAGGAATATGTGCATATTTTAAACAATCAAGTAAATCTTATTTTTTATTTGAACTCTTCAAATATATATTTATTTATGAATAAATTGTAAAAGTTCTCATATGAAACTTTCATGTGTTGGATAGAATATTTTACACATTGAATGTTGATTTCTCTCTTTAATAAACTAGTGTTGATACACGTGCGATGCACGTGGTGCAATATTATAAAATTATTTAAATATTATAAAATTATTTAAGACAATATATATGAAATTATATTCTATATAATATTCTATTCAGTAATAATATGATATTTATTTATTTAATATTATTGTTAATTTCTATTTTTATATAATTTTTTGTAGTTTTTGACTATTTAATATATAAATATTTTTATTATTTATAAGGTTATAAAATATTATAAATGTATATGATCATATGATATTTGCATACAAATTACTTGTATGTACTTATAAAATTGTCGTTTATCATAGTCTTATATTTTTTTTAACAATTCATAATTTGCACATTGCTTGATAATTGACCAACGTTTAACCCATAATATTTATTTTCCGCTATAATTATTAAGTGCATTAAATGTTAAAAACTTTGATAAATAAATTTTAATTTTTAGTAACTTTAATCCTTATACAACACACAAAATTTTTATGGTTAAATATTTTATTTTTACGTTTTCATTTTCTATTTATATTTATTTCTTTAATTCATTTTTTCAACCTATATAATGAGTTACATAGTATCTATTCGAATATTTAGATATATTATATATTTCTATAATTACTAAGTGCTATAATTTAAATTATTATACATTGCTTTTTTATTAACTTATTTTTCATATATAAAATAGTATATAAGAAAAATAAATATATTTTTAAAAATTTAATAGTTTTTAAATGTACATAGATACTTCTAAGGTGAAATATATAATTCTGAATTGCAACCAACCATCAAATTTTATTTTTATTAGTATATTATTTAATTTTTCAATAGTATTATCACTGTATATGATATATTCAATGGGGATGTACCTTTTTATAGTTGAATTTACTATATTTTAGAAACTTTTATTAATATTTTAAATTATTTATTAAGTCATATATATATATATAATAAGAATTACTATTTACTAAAAATAGTAAGTAAAAAATCCGCCAAAATTAATTGAATTCCATTTTTGGAATGTTTTTTCAATTTATGTATTTTTTATTTATAAAAAATTATAGCGTATTTAATGCTACAATAATTATGGGATTAGTTATATTTAAATTTCAAATTTCAAAAAATATTATATAAATGTATTTTGAAAAATGAGGATCCCATCTATTATACATCACCTGATCACTACAAATTGATTTAGTTAAATAATTTCTTTATGGGTTTATTTGCTTTAATAAATTACACTCAAGTTCACTATAATGCATAATTTTGCACCATACATTCACGCACATTTTATCATATACAGACATTTCAATACTATTGTTATTATCATTTAAAAGATGACAAACAATGAGGT